ACTCTTTCATAAATTTAATTCTGATTTGAAATTTCGATTCATTATAACATTGAGAAAGAAAAAAAAATACATTGCTTGTACCTGATCATAGTTTAGGACTTCCTCGGATGCATGGTCGAAAGCGGCGATGGTACCAAGCGGCTGGCCGCGGAAAAAGACGAGGGAGCGGCGGAGGGCCTCCCAGGCGTCGCCCACTATGGGGTGGGGCTCGAAAGAGTGGAGCGCCGAGGAGGCCGGCGTGCCGACCAGAGAGCGTAGACCGCCGCCGGGGGAGTACATGCCGTCGAAGCCTCCGCCTCCTCTGGCGTGGCCACCGGAGTAGGAGACGTCGCTGAGCGAACGGTCATCGAAGGAGCGCTGGCGCTCGACGTTGATCCGCGGCTTGTTGAGCAGGTGTGTGAGGTCGAAGTCATCGGACCCGGACAGCGAGTTGTGCGACGCCGACCGCCGCATCCCGGCCGCCCCCAGCTCCATGGCTCCCCTCCCTCGTCACGAATCCGCGATCGGCCTCCGCCTACTCGCCCCAGCCAGATCTAAGCCCAAAGCGCCGGCAAAGAGCGAGCTGAGAGATCTAGCTCAGCTCAGGACGCTAGACAACGGAAGCGCGGACCCAGAGGCAGACACGGCCGCGCGAATCTCGAGGCGAGGGGGGTTCCGCGGAGGTAAATGGGGAAAAAAAGAGCAGTAGCGGGAGGGGCGCGTACTTATAGCGAAGCGGAGCCTGGGCGCCGACGGGGACGCGCGCGATAAACCTGTGACCTTTTGTCCATGTCGAGTGGGACCATCTCGCCCGAGGGACCCGCGGTGCGTGATGGTGGGTGGGTGGGTGAGTGATGTGAGAGGTGGTTTTGGGTTACCGGGTGCGGCCGGTGTGCAGCAGCAGCAGCACGTGGGGGGTTGGTGTGGTTGGGAATTGGGATGAGATGAGGACGAGGCGCTGACGTGGAACGGCGACCCCGGTTGAGTGCTGGGGGCGGTTGTTGGGTGCCCAAGGAAACGTGAGCATCGTGGTGGCCGACCGGAGATCGTCTGCCTGCCGATTTCCGGAAGCGCGGGCGGGCGAGGCTTGCTGCCCTCAGCCTGTGCTCCGGGGGCAGTCGTGGCGAGTATCCGATTACCCGTCGAGGCAACGAATCTGACCGTGATAGCAAGGGTACAAACAGGGGGCGGAACCTGCTATACAGATGGACACTTGGATTTACGAGTTCAGACCTCTTTGAGATAAGAGCAACTTTAATGGAGCGACTCATTTCGTCTATCGCCGTTCATCTAGGTTGGGGTAGACAGAAAAATCGGCCCAACACGCCGATTCAAACGGACACGTGTCCGCTGACGACCCATTCCCGGCTCATTTTTGAGCCGGATTTGCATCGGCGCGGACACAAGCCGGACGTGCGCGCTCGTCTTTTTTCTCCCCGAGCCACTGGTCGGTGGCACATTGGCATCTCCCCTCACCCTTCAGCCAACAACAACTCTCGCCCGCCTCCTTCGTCGCCGACGTCGCCGCCCTTTTTTGCCGGCGACTCTGCCAGCTGATGCCGCCGCCTCCACATCCGCCCAGCAACGCCGCTCACTCCCCTTGTCGCCCGCCATCCCCGTCTTGCCGCCGGGGAGCAAACTGCTTCCCACCGCCGCTCCCCCCACCGCACAGCCGCCCGCGACCAAGAGGCCGCCTCGCTACCCCGGCCAGATCCTCACCGGCTCGCTCGTCGGATGCCGGCAGCGCAGCTAGCTGGTCCGTGCACGCCGCGATTCCCCTCGCCGACCGTCTTCTTCTTCGACGCTCGCAAGCTGTTCGACAGTTTGCCAAGGTATGAAAATGGACTCCGGCGACGAGTTCTTTTTCCACAATTTCCTTTGCGACTCCGACATTCGTCGTCCGACGAGGAGGAGGAGATATTGGCTGTCGTGTTGGTCCATCACCACCTCAACAGCCAGCAGCCGTTGTTCCGTGGCTCCATTCTGGGCCACCTTCGGGCGTTGAATCGCAACCGAGAGAGCGGGCATTTCCTTTTTTGGAAGGACTACTTTGATACAACAAACCCGTTGTTCAAATATCAAAAATTCCGCCGCCGTTACCATATGAGTAGGCATCTTTTCAACCGTGTTAGAGAGGGGGTGGTCCGCTATGATGACTATTTCGAGTGCAAAGAGGATGCCGTCGGCAAGATCGGTTTCTCCTCTTATCAGAAATGCACCGCCGCCATCTGAATGCTTGCATACGGAGTGCCCCGTGATCTCATTGACGAGTACGTCCGTATGAGTGAGTCTACATGCCTAGAGTCGCTGTATAAGTTCTGCAAGGCTGTTATTGTTGTGTTTGGCCCCGAGTACTTGAGAGAGCCGACAGTTGAAGATACGGCCCGTTTGTTAGCGATGAATGCCAGAAGGGGCTTCCCAGGGATGCTTGGCAGCATAGATTGCATGCATTGGGAGTGAAAGAACTGTCCTTCTGCTTGGCAAGGGCAGCATAAGGGACATGTCAGGGCTTGCACTGTCATATTAAAGGTTGTGGCGTCTCAATATCTCTATATCTGGCACTCTTTCTTTGGCATGGCTGGATCACACAATGATATCAGCGTGCTTCAGCGCTCGCTGGTGTTTGCTAGGCTTGCCGAAGGCAACAGCCCACCGGTGAACTTTACTGTCAACGGCCACAACTATGACAAAGGATACTACCTGGGTGACGGTATCTATCCTCAGTGGACCACTATTGTCAAGACAATACCCAACCCGTCGGAGAGAAGAGGAAAAGATTTGCCCAAGAGCAAGAGAGTGCTAGGAAGAATGTCAAGCGTGCCTTTGGTGTTTTGCAATCTCGGTGGGGTATCATTCGGTATCCTGCTAATACCTGGAGCACGCGGAAACTGTGGAAGGTGATGACTGCTTGTGTGATCATGCACAATATGATCGTAGAAGACGAGCACCCGGAACGTCTGTACGATCAAGGGTTTCAATTTCAGGGTGAGAATGTTGTGCCTGAGCATGGAGTAGCGGCAACATTTGAACAGTTCACCCAATTTCATGAAGACATGCGTGATTGGAAAACTCACGTGCAGCTGCAAAATGATTTGGTTGAGCATATGTGGGCTCATGTTGGCAACCAATAAATGTATCTTCTTTTATTCGTTTGCAAAACTATGTGAAGCATTTTTATTTGTATCCGGCTTGTAAAATTATAATATTTTATTCGGTAAACTATCTTATTTGACAACATGCTTGAATGCAAATCAATGTAATATTGGGCGGCCAGCCGGCCACGCCGGCACATATGGGTCGGCGCGTTGGGCGCGCTGCCGACTCAAATCTAAAAGAGGGTGGACGCCGGGCGGGCCGCCGACCCAAACGGGTAAAAAGCGGATGAAATCTTCATTCGTTTGGGTCAGCCTGTTGGAGTTGCTCTAACAACCCTACGTCTTGAGCTCCGAAGTTTTGTTTTCTTTGGGGGCATCTGATTACAATAGGTTGTGAATGTAAGGCCCCGAGACTGTTGAGACAGGTGTCCTCCAGTTATTCGCCGTCGTTGCCATGTCATTTGCTTGCGTGTTGCATATTTTCATGTCATCATGTGCATTGCATCATCACGTTTTTGAAACTTGCATCTGTCCCAGTCTCCCAGTTCCTTCCGTTGTCCGTTCTGAGCCCAGACACACTTGCACGCGCCCGCGACACGTCTGAAATATTATTTTATAAGTGACCGGAAAATGTTCTTGGAATGGGATGAAAGTTGGCGTGCGGTGTTGTTTTGTTGTCAGTCGGCTGCCTGCCAAGTTTCATCGCGTTCGGAGTCTGTTTGATGCCCCAACGGATAACTATAGCGGTAGTATACCCGGTCTTATTGTCGGACGTTTTTGGTCTCCGGAAATCGTGTCGGGCTGCATCTCTCCCCTCTCGTCTCAGACCAACCCGCTCTCCACAGTCCACCTAGGCCCATGCCTACCCCTCTTTGCATAGTGCACCGGACCTCCTCGCGCGCGCGTCCGAAAGCTGTCCCGGACTCGACCCGGTCAGTCATCACCGTTGTGTCCAGATCATCCCCAAACATCTACAAAACGTCTCCGTTTTGTTAATTGGACTTCCTTGTGTATTTTTCTCGACCGCTCGATTTTAATTGGAGGGACGGATTAGCCCCTAAACTCTCCCTCTTTCCTTATATATAGTCCCTAGTCTAAATCTGGACAAAAACCCTATTTCCTAGGGATCCTCCCCTGTCCAGCCGTCACCGCCAGCCACCTGGTCTCCTCTTCTTTTTCCGCGCGCCCCCAATCGCGAGCCAGCCTCCAGATCCACCCGCAGCCATTCCTCTCGATCTCTCCCCACCAGCCTCCTCCTTCCTTCGATCCAACCAGCCGCAGGATCGGGGGAGGAGCCCTCACGCCCGAGCCTCGCCGACCTTGCAGGCCGCGCCCTCCGGCGACCTTGCCGCCGGCGGCCATGACCAGGACTGACCTCATCCCGGTCCTCTCCTCCTGTTTTTCCCTCTCTCTCTCTCTCTCACGGTGGTTCTCTCTCTCTCCTTCCCAGGAATGAAAATGAGTTCGCCCAAGCTCCATGGCGCCACCGCCACCGTCCTGCTTCGTCTGGTGTCCTTCGAGCAGCGCCACCCGTCGGATCCGCTCGATGTTCGCCTCGCCCCTGCACCCCAAGTCCCGCGTCGGAGCCACCTGCAACCCGCCCTCGTCGCCACCTCGATCGCTCCTCTCCTCCTCGAGCTCCTCGTCGACGACGAGAGCCTCCAGCTGGACCCCGCAGGCCGCACACTCCAGCTCATCGCCGCGGTCGGTCCTCCCCAATCCTCGTCGCCGGCCTCTGCTTCTGCGTTTGGAAACGACGACGAACAGCGACAAGTCGCCCGTCTGCGTTGACCCCCTCCTCTGCCTCATGCGAAGCCCAGTTCCAGCAGGGCGTGCGTGGCCCAGCGCCAAGGCTCGACTTCCTGGAGCCCGATGTGAGGAAGCCCATCCTTTGTTTGCTCCTGTGCAGCCCAGTTCGGGCCAGTTTTGGCCCGAGTTGTTTTTTTTTTCCGCAGTATGTTTTAGCTTATTCCAGAGAACGCCCGTTTTGCAGAAAAGCACTCATACATCATGCATATCATATCTCACAAACCGTGCATCGGATTAAAACAAACTTAACGTGAAAGTTGCTTAGAATTGCGTGTAGTTTCATATTATGTCACTTTCATCTATGTTTCAGATGTTTAAAATGTTGTTTGGTTAGATTTGCTCCTATGACATGCTAAAATGTTTTAAATCATAACTAAATAACCGTAGCTTGGTTTCGAATAAACTTTATATGTAAATGGGGTGGAAAAATGCCTAGTTTAACATGGTGGCATCACTTTGCATGTTTAACAACTCTAAAATTGTGTTTAGGGCAGAACAGTACCAAACCTAAAATGTGCACATGAGGAGTTTCCGGACTTGTTGTTTTGTTGTTTCTGGCCTCATTTAAACTTGCCCAGATAGGTAGTTTTG